GCCCCACAGGCCAGTGCCCGCGAGGCAGATTGTCTTTTGTCACCGGCGCTAATTCGTCGAGCTGCACGTCTGCCGGGTCTGCGCGTCACTTCATCCGTGTGATGAGCGTCCGGAGGTGCGGCTCGGGGCCGGCTCGCCCACTTGGAAGGCTGTAGGTCACCCGTTAGCGGCGGCGCTGGCTGGGCTGACCGTTTCCGGCACGGCATGCAGGCAGGCGTGTACCGCTTCACAGCGGCCCTGTCACTGATGACCCAGAAGTGGTGCCGCAGGCGAGCCAGAACGTGCTCTGCGCCAGAATGGGCGAGCTTCTTGTGTCGGTCGGTGACGATCAGCCGAGTGATGTCTCCGCGAGCAGGTAGAATCACCCGGTGCTTGACCTTGAAGTCGAGCTGGGCGTGGCGCAGCTGGCCCCCGACTCTTAGAAGGCCGTTCGGGTCCAGGAAGGGGTTAAGCCGGTACATCTGGCTGTTCGAGGGAAGCCGCCTTCCGTGCTGGAGAGCTTCGATTTCATCGCCGAACTGCTCGGCCTGTGTGCTGAGCAGCCAGACACGCTCAGCTTCTCTCAGCTCTTCAGCAGTCAGCGGTCCCGTCCGCCGATCAGCTGCTGCTCGGCTGCGGCTGTTGTGAGCGAATCTGCGCGCCCACGCTGTCACACGCAGCAGCCTGAGCCATGATGAGAACCGGCTGGGGTTTATGGTCGGCTCCGCTCCCCTGGTGACGCAGGCTGGTGCTCTCATTTCGGCCGTTTCCTCGTCTCTCGGGCGCTCTGTCGGGCGGGGCGGCGCGGCGGGCCGGTCCTGGGGACGGCGCGACAGGACGGCGCGACCTTGGCCCCACTCTCCGCTCGGTGCCACCTCAGCCACCGAGCGGCCTCGGCTGCCTATGTTCGATGAGTTCAGTGACCCTGGCGCGTGTTGCCATCGAGTCACTTCCGAAGCGTCCTGGGTTTCCTCGCTGACACGGATATGATGCACGTCCTTGTTGACTGGCAGGTTTCGATCCGGCGCGCGGCCGGTGACCGTCCAGCCGAGCAGTGTTCTCACGGCGCACGGCGCACCCGGTGGTCCGTCGATCACCTGACGTGCCACGATCAGTTCTATGACGTCAGCGCCCAGAAGTACTTCTACTGGACCTCGAGTCGTACTCGGCAGATCCAGGTCAGCGAGATGAGGCCATTTGCCCTTCCCCCGTGACCAGTCCATGGCGTGATTTGACACACTCAGCGTCGGCGTCGTTTGGGCGTTCCGTATTTCGTGACGTGTGCCACCGCTGCTGACAGGCTCGATCACGAAGGACACACGGCGTGATCTGAGTCGTTCACTTCCGTTTAGGGTACTCAGGACCAAACTGTCAATGGGTCCAGAGATGCCGAGACGGTCGCTCAGGCCTTCGGTCACCAGCGTTACCTGGCTCCCGAGGTCGAGAAGCGCGTGGGTTGTGCAGCGCCCAGCAGGACCATGCACCGTTATCGGCAGTGTCTGCAGCAGCACCTCACAGGGTGGCTCGACCACCGCAGTGCCAACATGTTTCACTGGTGACGGCGCGCTGCCGGCAGCATTGCGCCGTGGAAACACACGCTCTCCGTTGTGCAGAAGCGTGTGGTGACGTTTTCCACAGTTCTCGTGACCACATTTTGCGCTAGACGTGCACGCGGCGCTGATGTGGCCTCGCACGAGACAGTTGAAGCAGAGCCCGTTTCGACCGGCCACTTCAGCTCTCTCGCTCGCTGTCAGCTCCAGAAACCTGTCACAGCGCTCTACGTCATGTGCCCCCTGACAGACTACACATGCGTCCTCACTCGCGACCGGCGCTGCCTTTATTGCACTAATTTTCGGTTTTACGACCTCTCGGGGCGCGGCCGGCGCTAGCGCAGTCGCATAAACACGCCGCTGCCGGCTCTCCCCACTGTTGACCTCGGCCTTGGATTGCTGGTGGCCCGTCAGGGTCAGGGACGCGCGCCCAGCGGCCACGTAGCGGCGCAGCCAGCTGTCCAGGTCAGCGAGAGTTGGGCGGACGAGACCGCTGTGTACAGCGTGCTCGCCCCACTTCAGCGCCAGCGCAGCGGGAAGCTTCGAGATCACGGCTGTTACATTGGTGGCAGCCGAGATGTCCGCGTCGTAGTGAAGGCACTGTAGCACACGGACTGCGGTGCGAAGGTCACGTGACAGCTCTGTCACAGCCGACATATCACCATCTTTCACCGGCCGCGAATCGAGCAGTTTTTTCATCGTCGCGTGAATGACCCGCGCCGGGTCACCGAACTCCTCCTCTAGCTCACGCAGAGCCTCGCCGTACAGAGAAGAGTCGCACAACATACCGCGCACTGATTCCTTGGCCGGCCCGGTGAGATGAGCCTGGAGATATGTCAGGCGCTCGACGTCAGTCAGGTCGTCTCGGTCGTGCACTAGAGCCCTGAACAGCGCGATCCATCTCGGCCATTCCAGAGCGGAGCCGCTGAACTTATCCAGGGTCACTCGAGGCAGCTGTGGAGTCGTTTGCTGTCTCACGGGCTGTAGCGGGCGTCGCGGTTCCTGCTGGTGACGGTCGTCGTATGGCCGCGCGCTCACCAGTTGTCCGTACTGGGAGGACTGCTCCACCCAGTCCCGGGTGCGTGAGGACCTGTCACCCGGCAGCAGCGGCTCACGCAGCTGGGCAGCTGGCTCACTTGGAGCTGCGGCAGCAGGCCGAGCTAGAGCCTGACGGTCGACGGCAGATGACTGGTGGTCATACTCCTCCTCCTCGAGCAGCTCCAGCTCCAGCTGACGGCGTTCAGCTTCGTCGGCGAGCTGTTGAGCTTCGAGAGCTGCCCGCTGTCGTGCCAGTTCTGCCTCTGCCGCGGCCGCGCGCTGGCCTTGCTCCGCTGCGAGCTTGCTTAGCGCGGCTCGGCGGCGGGCTGCGCTGATGGTGGACGACGCTGCGCTGCCGAAGGTCTCGCTGCGGGTATGACATGCCTGCGAGCTGCGCGTAGATTTAGCGTCACACCGTGCGACCGCCTTTGCGGTCGATTTCGCGTCGGACTTCGCTTCCGACATCACTGCGTCGGACTTCGCTTCCGACATCACTCGTTCACTGCACTTGCGTCGGACTGTACGTCCATTCACTCACTAGTTCACATACATCCGGCCCGGAGGACCAAAATGTTCGTGTGATTCGTGGTCGTTTACTCTGATCCAGCACGGCAGACCAAAGTGTTCATGTAATCGTCCAGTTCACTAATAATTGCGTATCTGATCGAATCGTTTCATTAACCGGAGGACCAAAAGAGTTCTTAGATGAATGTCTATTTCTGGATTACTCGTCACACACTGCACGTCAATCGAATCGTACGACGCCGGCGCCGTTGCGCCGGCGGAGTCGCGTCGCCGTCGTCGTCGTGTCGCAAACTGCCGAGCCGGCCGGCGGCGGCCGGCCCGGCGCGTTGGGGCCGGTCAGCACACATATGTGCTCCAGATGACCCCCCCAGGCCCTGTAGAGGACCACGTGGGCGGCGGGGCTCGGCCGTGCCCGCCGCGCGCTGCCGTCGCTGTGCGGCACGGTACGTTTTCTCTCGAACATGGAGTATGGAAAGAAGGTGGATGCTCCGTCGAGAGTCATGGATGAGATTATCCGCGAGCCATTGATGCGATTATCCGCGGTCGGTGTGACTGACCTGACCGAGCTTCCTCGTCTCGCTTGGCGGAGCAGGAGACAGCGTCTCCTTTGTCAAGGAGACCATCCCGGTCTCGACACTCCACCCGAGACTCATGGGTTTCATCGGAACGTGACATGCATTCTTGGCTGTTTAAAATTCCGCACTCAGCTGCCGCGTGCAAACAGACGGCGACGTTGTCATGACAACGCGAGGGTCAGGAACGGATAGCAGCGTCGCGGTGAATTTGATTCAACTCCCTAAAACAACCTTCGATTCAACTGCGGCTTCGTCCGCTTATCACACATCCAGGATTGGTTAAAATGACGCGCTCCGGCGCGGTTCGTGTCGCGTCATGCTCACTTCATGGACCATTTACCGCACCTCTAAGTATAGGCTCAGTTCTTGAAAAGTAGAACTGCAATATATACCTTCACTCTACAGGATGAGGTCCGGCTTTTTCTGTCGTTTCGCCGCCGCATGACGTTTGAACGTCTACTTGGGCTGAGGGTGGGGACACCCCGTTGTTCCACCCCACGAGCGACAATGGGTTGTATTTCACGGCTGGAGGCCTCCCCTGCCATCAGGTGGCCTGGTCCAGACTCGGGAACACCATCAGACCAGGGTCTGGTCGGTGGACGGCACTTGGCCCGGGTCTGCCCGCCGACATCAAACTAGACGCTTTCGTAAATGGAGTATCTCACGATTCACGAGGGCTGCCGACGCCCGGCTCTCTCATACTCCCACACAACACACGATCTTTCCCAATGCACAACGACTCGCTGAGACTCGATGACTCGCTTCCATCCCCTGGCTCATTTAAGTCTGTTTCTCTGCAGCTAAATGAATGAACTCAAGGAATGAACCCATTCTTGATTCCTGAATCCGGGTCATATTTTCGACATCCCTGAATCGTGAAACTGCAGTACGACGCATGTCAGCCTTTTCCCCAGTCCCGCTGGCGCTCATCGAAATAAACGCCATCATTCTTCGAGAGAGACGTTTTCATCTCTCGACATTCGTCGGCACTTCTTTTACTAGAACAATTTTTTTTTCATAAGCTTCTTTGATCTCTCTCTCCCTCTCTCTCTCTCTCTCTCTCTCTCTCTCTCTCTCTCTCCCTCTCTCTCTCTCTCTCTCTCTCTCTCTCTCTCTCGCTCGCTCTCACCTCTGCGTGGGTTCTGCCGAATCATGACGTTAGCTCGGCGCCTGAGGACCAGCCCCTGCCGGTACAGAATCTACAGGACGGTGTATACTTTCACACCGATGTGGCACTAGCGACGCCGGTTACAGAATGACCAAGTCTTTCTAAGTGAGCGAACCGTGAGGTTAACCGAGGGCAGGGGATACTCACTGACACAGGATAAGCCATCCGGTTCATCCACCGTCCTGCAGAGATTCACAAATGGCTGCACCACCGCCACCGGTCACCGGCTGGATGGCTGGGCGGTAGTGGCGGCTGGTCAAAGCACGTGACATTTGCACTGTATTCAGTGGAGCGATTGTCCCCTCAACGCGACAGGGGCCTCGGAGCGCTTCGGGGAACGTATTGATGAAATATCGACGAGCGAAGAGACGGCACCGTCGAACTAACATCAGTAGAATTTTCGGGTACTGTCGGCTACCATCTGACGGAAAACGATACACTTCCGTGCGCTAATTAGCATTCTTCCCATCCACCCCTCTTCCTGCCGACTGCCCTCTCGACCCCGCCCCTCCCGGTCTTCCCACCTTCACCCCATCCACCTGCCGCCCGCCGACTTCGCTCGCCGGCGCTAGTTCCGGTGACGGCCGGTGGCGTCGCTGGCGTCGCGGAGTAACGAACGCCGCGAGCCAAGGCCGCTGCGAGCCGCGGGCGGCGCGTCGCGGCTCCAGTCCACTCCAGTCCAAGTCAGGTGGCGGCCGACCGGCTTTGTGCCGCAAGAGACTGACGGCGTTCTTTTCCAGCGAGTCCAGTGAGCGAGCCGGGCGGCGGCGGGCGTGCCCGAGAGCGTCTGTGATAAACTCTGTGAGTGGGCCGCGGAGGCCGCAGCATCGGCATCGGAGCGTGCACGTGCAGTGGTAGCGGCTGGTGCTGTGTCGGGTGGTGACTGGTGCCGACCCGGGAGATCAGTGATTGGTGACGACCATGGGTGCCCAGGCGTCTCACGAGCCCCTGGAGCAGAGTGTGGCACGGGTGAGTACCTATACCTCGTTATCGTAAATTGTGTCTTGTGGGTGATTGTTGCGGTGGTTGACTGAGACATGGACACATCAAGTTGAAGTCCGTGGTAGTAATACCTGATTCCTGTTGGCTGTTGCTGTTGTAAGTTGAGTTGGTTCAGGCTGATGCTGGTAAAGCCAAGGCCCTTATTTAAGTTTTGATTATATTATAATTCATAATATAGATCGACTAGTGGACTGTTCAAAATAAGTTCCACTGCAATGTTGATGTGAAACTTATTTTGATGGGACGTCAGCGTGGCACGTGCGACTTAGCCTTTTTGGAGGGGGGGGGGGGGCACACCAATAACCATTGACCAATGACCAGCTTATAGGCGTGGCAAGGGCTGCGCGCAGGGGCGGATCCAGAAAATCTCCAAGGGAGGGGCCATTAGAAACTAGAAACCAGGAGGCCCCCCCATAATCCCACCTGTTGGAGGCCCCATCTTCCCACTTGTTGGCCCCCCCCCAAAAAAAAACTGCGTCTATTGAGCTTATCTAGCTGTTCAGGCAACATCTCAACATCTGTGCAGGCTTGGAGGCCCTCTGTGCAGGTTAGGAGGCCCTGTAAAAGTGGTCATCTCTGTGAGTATAAGAGACCTCCAAGTTATGAAAAGCTTTACCAATCTTCTAACAAAGAAGTCTTCTCAGCTAGTCTTCTAAGAAATAACTAAGTGGGTAGGTTAAAAAAAAAACTCATCGGATTTCGGCCACTTTATTTTCAGGAGGCCCCCTTTTCAGCTTTTTAACTTTTTAACTTTTTATTTTATTTTTGAAAAAAAAAAATCGGCTAAGGGGGGGGGGGCCATGGCCCCCATGGCCCCCCCCTTGTATCCGCGCCTGGCTGCGCGTCACGCCCATCGGTATCGTGACGATGGATATTGATCCGTGAATCAGGACGGCTTACCAGTAGGGTGTCCCAAATTTCACGAAGTTTTTCAATTCACTTAGGATACACCGGGATCCCGTTCCTTGGTTCATTTGAACCTCACACACCAATTTATAGAGTAAACTACCGGTAAACAAGGTTGCCGCTAGTGCTCTTAAGTTTTATTTGCATTTTGGTGTTATATGATAGTGCAGCGTTGTAGTCTCCGAATGCAAAATGGGAAATATGTGTAAGCAACGTAGCAATATTACCTTCTTCGATGCTCAGTGATGCTCAGATCCCACGCACATTGCACAATGATGAAAATCCGGTTTTATGTACGCATACATACGTGTGAAACTGTGTGTGTGCGTGCCCGTATGCCTCTATGCGTGTGTGTATGTGTGTGTGTGTGTGTGTGTGTGCGCGCGCGCGCGCGCGACTGCGTGCGTGCCTACCGGATAGAAGGCAATGCCAGTTTTAATCTTGGTGTGGGTGATTTCATGTGCCGCTGATTTCGTTTAGGAGTAAGCGATCAAACAAATGTCTCAGGTTAGTGCTTCAAATGTCTCGCTTCAGATCGAACCGTCTGCGGCAATGGCACACCACATAAACGCAGATTGAACAGAATCAAATTTACATTGCAGCTATGGGTATTAAGTTCACCGTACCCTGTCCTGAGACCGTCCACGCGTAACATCACCGTACCCTGCTCCGAGATCCGTCTAAACCAACATGATGCCTTGCTCTGAAAACCGTCTGACACATCGTACCCTATTCTGAGCTTCGTCTAAAACATCGTACCCCATTCTGGGATCCGTCTTAAACATCGTACACTGCTCTGAGGTCCATTTACACTCTACGGTCTACACGTAACGTCATCGCACCCTGTTTAACATCTGTCTACCACTACAGACCCATGTAACGTCCTTCTTGGTGTGACCGTAAAGCGACCTGTGTCATGCCACCACCTGGGCCAGCGCCTGCAGCTGGTCCTCACCTTTCGTTCTGGCCATCATCTCCTGTGCCAGCTTCACTCCACGATCCGCTCCATCATTCACAACTGCCAGGCTATTGACGTATTTGTGAACTGCGTTGTAACCTGAGATACTTTTCCATTTTTGACAGGCTCTTGCAACCATTCGAGGGCGCACTCATCCCGATTATGGATGAGTGCCTATGATTCTCATAGCCGGGTGCCCGGTGCAACCATTCTAGGGCGCGCTCATCCAGATTCTGGATTAGTGCGCCCTCGAATGGTTGCAAGAGCCTGTCAAAAATGCAAAAGTATCTCAGGTTACAACGCAGTTCACAAATACGTCAACAGCCTGGCAGTTGTGAATGATGGAGCGGATCGTGGAGTGAAGCTGGCACAGGAGATGATGGCCAGAACGAAAGGTGAGGACCAGCTGCAGGCGCTGGCCCAGGTGGTGGCATGGCACAGGTCGCTTTACAGTCACACGAAGAAGGACCACGTGGGTCTGTAGTGGTAGACAGATATTATAGCAAGGTGCGATGACGTTATGTGTAGAGTGTAGAGTGTAGATAGGCCTTACAACAGTGTAGGATGTTTTAGACGGACCTCAGATCAGTGTACGATGTTTAAGACGGATCTCAGAATAGGATAAGATGTTTTAGACGAATCTCAGAGCAGGGTACGATATTTTAGACGGATCTCATAGCCGGGCACGATGCTGTTGACGGATCTCAGAGCAGTGTATGATGTTTAAGACTGATCCCAGAATGGGGTACGATGTTTTAGACACATCTCAGAATGGGGTACGATGTTTCAGACGGTTTTCAGAGCAAGGCATGATGTTGGTTTAGACGGATCTCGGAGCAGGGTACGGTGATGTTACGCGTGGACGGTCTCAGGACAGGGTACGGTGAACTTAATACCCATAGCTGCAATGTAAATTTGATTCTGTTCAATCTGCGTTTATGTCGTGTGCCATTGCCGCAGACGGTTCGATCTGAAGCGAGACATTTGAAGCACTAACCTGAGACATTTGTTTGATCGCTTACTCCTAAACGAAATCAGCGATCCGGTAGGCACGCACGCAGTCGCGCGCGCGCGCGCGCACACACACACACACACATATACACACACGCACAGAGGCATACGGGCACGCACACACACAGTTTCACACGTATGTATGCGTACATAAAACCGGATTTTCATCATTGTGCAATGAAGCGTGGGATCTGAGCATCACTGAGCATCGAAGAAGGTAATATTGCGACGTTGCTTACACATATTTCCCATTTTGCATTCGGAGACTACAACGCTGCACTTTCATATAACACCAAAATGTAAATAAAACTTCAGAGCACTAGCGGCAACCTTGTTTACCGGTAGTTTACTCTATAAATTGGTGTGTGAGGTTCAAATGAACCAAGGAACGGGATCCCGGTGTATCCTAAGTGAATTGGAAAACTTCGTGAAATTTGGGACACCCTACTTACCAGTTACCGATAGGGTTAGGCGATAGTGTTGGGATTGTTCGTGCACCCAAGAACTAATGATCGGCCAAAGTATGGAAAATTCTCCTCGAATCTGACCTGACCTGACCTTGCAGTAACGAAGCCAGCGACTGGATTCCAGAAGTTAACCTCCCAGGACCCAGAGTCGTATCCTAATCCCTGTTTAGCTGGAGCAGCAGCTGAAGCGTCGAACGTCTCGGCCATCCGGTTCATTAGCTCCAGCTCATCTGTGGCCGAAGTGACAGGTTCGGTCGTTAGACATTAGTCCGAGGACTGCACGAATGTTATTGGCACCGTGCCAGGCGTCACAGGGCTTCCTTTGGGACCTTGCGGGGGAGGGGCTGCCGAAATAGACGCAAGCAGGGACCTCCCGGTCAGATTGAGCCCGGTTTGGTAACGGGGCATATTCTAAACTGTGGATAGTGCCCAATAATGTACGTTTATCTACTTATATGATTTTCAACAGCTTTGTTCTGAATGTTAGCGATTGATTATTTGAAAAGAATAGGCAGCATCGTCTCAAGGCCGGCTTTTTCTGCGATATAAAATCAGTCGAGTCACTGGGATGTTGCATGCAAGTCTGTCAATAATCTTTCATTTCTTGAACCTCACAGGCTATAACAGCTACTGAGACTGAACAGTAGTCTATGCACTTAACCATTGTATCTTGTATCAGTCGTCCCTCTCTATAAAGTTTACATTAAATTTACTGTGTTAATGACTTACAGAGCGTTGTGTGCACGATTTGAGCATGCATTAGCTTTGAATTCGATAACTGGTGAAGCACTGGTTGCAACACTGTGTTGGCAACTGTCTGAAAGGATCTTTGGAGTGAACTTTTCAATACGCTGACTGAAAGACTAATCGCCTTTGATGCTTCCAACTTGCTGTAACACATTTAAACGATGTCAGTGTCTGTACCTACTTCTTGTTCTGTCAGACGCTGCACACATTTCAAACGTTTGTTTTCTCTTTAGGCGTACTTTGAAGTGAGCTTCAAAGTGTGTTCAGTTTGACTCAGATACCATTGAAGCACACAGCATCTCAATATAGGTCTCGTCAGCTGCTATTGTTTGGATGAAATGTCCTGTAGATCTGACGGTCGTCCCCCGCTCCCCGTCCTCGCCCCGCCCACTGTCCTCCGAAGCGGCTTTGCAGGGAGTGGGGCGGCCACTGGGGAGGGGGGATAGGAGGGGGGGACTGTTAGACACGTGCGATTTGTGAGGACGGTACTTTTCTCTCGGTTAGGTGAGAGGGTGGTCTGTCTCACGTCTGCCATTCAGCATGAATGGTTCAGCCGACCCGTCATACTCCGTCCCATTGAACCAAACCATTCGGTTCAGCTGTGATATCTGGCTGTCTGATTCTACCCGAATTTCATGGTCCAGCCGCAATGTCTTGTCCAACTGATTTGAGCGAATGAGTTTATGGCAAAGGACAAAGGTTAAGTTGTTCGCAGGTCATTGATGGGAAAAATGTAATGTGAAAATGCCACACATCCTGCCCTGAGTGCCCCTGGGGCCGAGCAAGCGGTGGGCGTACTCCGTGCCAGTTACGAAAGCAGCTCACTGCCATTAATCTTCATCAAAGATGCCACTACATCAAAGGCATCAAAGGTCCGA